GGCCCCACGTCGCTGCCCACGTTCCTGGCGGGCCCCGGCGCGCCCCTGGCTTCGGGATTTCCACTTCGGGTTCACGAGGAACACGCCTTATTCTTTGTGTTTTGGTCCCGAGTACCGGGGGGCAGGACCTCGGAGCATCCCACGGCCCGCGCTTCGGCGGACTGTTGCACAAACACGCAGGGAGCGTGTCTGGAGCAAGAGCATCCCCATTGCCAAGTTCTATTTTACATTCCCCGTTTTGCCCAGTTTCTACACGTCCTAATTTTTGTGGAGTTGACTCCCAATAAAACGCACGATGTGAGCGGTTGTCCCTAAGGGTGAGCCCTGACGGAGGCGTGCACCCACGCGACCGCCCCCCCAGCTGCAGAAAGTTCCCCGCGCGGGGCACCCCCTTCCCCACTCGCCGAACCCCGCAGGAAGGGGGCCAGAACCTAAGGAATGCAGGGCGAAATATCTCTTTCCCTCCAGTTTCTTGTGGGCCAAGCCAGCCAGTCATTCGTCATCACTTGATCACTGTAGTCTAATTGGAACAGTGATTAATGTTAATCACTGTTAACAGGGTCCAGATGATTCATGTAGATAAAATAAGGTAGTCCTTTTAAAAACTCAAACGAAGATAATATATTTAAAAAATTTTAATGAATAATTTTAGATTTTTTTTTCTCTAGCCTTTTCTACTTCTATTGGCAGAATTATAATATTGTTTCAATCCAGGTAATTCCAGATATCCTTCAAGCCAGTTTATACCAAATATGTGTTCTCATGTCTGCAAAAGTATACATCTAAGAACAAAACAAAAAAAATTCCCTAAAGAAGCAGCCAAACCCAGCAAAACCATATACAGGTATTTAGATCTGAGATTCACCTTTCCAACCCCGCCTAATGATTTCCAAGCTGTTCTGGTAACTGGTTTTGGATATGGCCCTGGAGTAATAAGGAATAGAATAACACAGGGATCTGTAGAACTTGAAAACAAATTTTTTTTTTTTTTAGCATTTCAGTTAATATTTAAGGTTACTAAATTACGGTAATTTATAGGTGAAAAGATTTTTTGCTTTTTTTGAGAAGAATCTTGCAGTCTGCTTTATATGGGCATCATCAACAACGACTCAGCTTTGGAGAATTTAGGTTTTGATCTTATCTCTCTGAATTCTCCGTTCTGGAATATTGAAAATGTATTCTGTGAGATTTGCTGAATAGTTTGAGTGATTTCAGTTTACTATTTAAATTGGATGCTTTCAGTTAAAAACAAACAAACCAGCCTGCTGTTAAAAAGATAAGTGTCCATTGTGGGAAGGTGTTAATAAAATGGAATTCTCTCAGTGCTAGAGGGACCTTGGAGTTAGCCAGGCCTTCTAGTTGAATTGTGACGGAAAGAGATTTTCTGATTCCTTAAAAATATGACTGGCTCCACTGAAGTGTAGCTGTAAGTGAATGACATTTATTTCAGGGGTTTTAAAATGTCACTTCCAATATTATGGTTGGGGCAGAATAGACTATTAGGAGTCATATCTTATTATGTGGCAGATTCACTTTATGAGATTGGTCAGCCAAATTTTGTTGCCCTGTTATTGTGATAATCTAATTTTAAAAGCTTGGTTATGAAATATTTCAAATATAGTCATTTGGTTAAACTGGTGAATAGTACAGTAACCCCCATGTCTTGTCGCTCAGCTTCAGCAGCTAATATCTGAACAGAATGATTTTAGACCCTCTTTTCAACGTTCTAATCTCACAGAAAAAATGTTGGGAAGAAGATCTAAAATCGCTGGGTTTTTATGTGTTAATTTGGGAGGTTGTGACTTCTCAGAGAAGAGCTTCGTGGGTGATGCCACTTGTACATGGAGAAACTGCCAAATATCTCAGGTCTTTTCTAGCCTGGTGACCTTTTGTCTAAAATTCTTACGTTTTTGTCTGTGGAAATCTATTAGTCTATAATAAAAGATCCCTTTGAACTTCTTAATTCTTCTACTTGTTCCAGGAGCAGGGGCAAAACTGGTCTAAAATAAGAGAGCAAACTGTGTCATATATAGGCTTTGGGGCATAATTTGTTTCTTACTAAGACAATACTACATCGTAAAAATGCTGAAACCTCAAATAATGATTTGAATGACTTCAAATAATGATTATACTTTTGAAAATCTCTAAGACAATCCTAATTATAGAAAACACTTTAGAGGGATGAAAAGGCAGAGCACAGAGGATTTCTAGGGCAGTGAAACGACTTTGTGTGATACTGTAAAGGTGAGTACATATCATTATATATGTATTTGTCCAAACCCATAGTATATATAGCACCAGGAGTGAACCCCAATGTAAATAACGGACTCTGGATGATTATGGTGTGCCCTTGTAGGCTCATCAATTGTAACGAATGTACCCCTGTGGTGGTTAGTCAGTCTGCTGGATGGAATGCAGTTGCTCTACTGGATGGGATGCAACTATTAAAAGATGTTTAGATAAAGCCCATAGCATGGAAAAATCCTTATGCAATGTTAAGAGAAAAGATGAGATACAAAGATTTGTATACAATATTTAAAAAAATATTACAATAATATTATTGTTCTTTTTTCCTTCCTATTTCTTATATTTCCTAATTTTTCTATAATGTATATTTTAATGGTGGGTATAGCTCAACAATCATTATTTTGTAAGCTTTTAAAACATACTTTGGAGAAAATTTAAAAAATATAAGAAAATATATACTCCAATCATTTATTCCTTATTATGTTAGGATAGATTTTTTTAGTTTCAGCTTTTGAGTCAGTGGCTCAGAGAACAGTAAATCACTGATAGTCCATTATAAGAAAAGGAGCACAGAAGAAAATATTAAAATATTTGTTTTTTTTAGTATAAAACTAAGAGAAAGTAAGCTTGACAGGTATTTCAGAATAGGTTGATGCTGGCACTCTCCTGGTGTCTGAATGTCGGGTGGTGACTTGTCGGATACCTGAAAGAAGAGGGGAGTCTCTCACTCTTAGCTTGCAGGATATGGCAACACAGCGAGGCCTGTGATTCCTTGTCAGGTATAGATATTATTATCCAGCAGAAGCAAACAAGAAAATGGCAGAGTTGACCCTTTTCTAATTGGAACATTAGGTTAGTACACGATAAACAAAACATCGATAATCTAACGAGATTTGGCAAAAAGTTGGCTCCCAAAAAATAGAAAATTATGAAGATCAATATTTGAAGTATGGGCTTTGATTTTCCATCGTAATGATGCATCTTGGCCTAAGTACTGTGCCAACACCTAATGGTAGTAGAGCATACATTTAACTATAAGTACATACACAAATGTTTGGAATAGAAATAAATGCTCAGAGATTATAGATGAGGTGCATTATTCAAAAAGATTTGGAGATCATTGGCTTAGAACGCAACTTTAGTACTAAACTGGGAAATAATAGAAGTTCGCTGACTTGAAGCTTAACTTTTAAACAATGGTTTTTGTGTATAATAAATACATTTATCTTTTCTGGAGTAAGTAAAAACATTATTTCTTTATTTTTATGACATAAGTGTTTTCCATTTTGTGCTGTATATTGTGTTATCAGATTTGCTGATTCAAAACCAGCAGGCATCTCCTGAGAATTAATATAGCTGAGCTGGATTCTCTGGGCAGGAAAACTCTTCTGTTTTTACACATTGGCAAACTCCATCAGAGAAAGTTTCATGTATCTTACCCAAGGTCACGCACATGAAATTGTGGCCCTAAAATCCTGCTTAATGGTTGTTCACTTCAGAGCTCATTCATTCCAGATATAAAATCAGAATGGACATAAATTAGGATCGTCTTACTGCATTTACGTAATTCCTTTCGTTTTTTAATACCCGCTGTCTTTGCCAAAGAAGTTATAAGAAGTATGTGTGATATTTAAACATTCCTGTGGTTATTTAAAAGTGCTTCATGGTACCTATTTGGTTCTGAGTCTTTTTTCCCTTTTGTTTCCTTTAGTTGGAGGAGAGCAGATAAGTGCCATTGGACAGGGCATCTGTGTGTTGCTGGGTATTTCTCTGGAAGATACACAGAAGGAACTGGAGCACATGTAAGATGTGGATTTCTAAGTCATTGCTCTTTGAATGGGATATGTGGTAGTTATAGCCTATTATAGATGAGATATATGTACACACACATACACACATACTAGGAACTTCTATAGTATTTTATTCGTATAAGGTGAGCCCCTGTTACTTTGATCAGTGTGACATTCGATGTAGTATGGTTATCTTCGTGTTTGCAGTGAGGAGACAGAGGAAGAGTAATCTGTCAGATGTTACCCACTAAGTGGGCAGCAGAGCAGGAGTACAACTTAGCCTCAGTCCCTATTTGCTGCTACATCTGAGAACCATTCTCTTAATGCCAAAACTGAGCCTCTTATGAATAATTTTTGCTTTTTAATGCATTTTTAAAATGCCCAGTTGTGCATTGTACACATAAGGATCTGGATCTCAGAGAGTTTAAATTTCTTGCCCAGAAACACATACACATAGTTACCAAACACCCAAATCTGAATTGGAATCTGTGCTACCTGACCTGGAAGCCAGTGCTCCTTTTACTAAAGTAGGGGAGTTTGTCATTGCTGTTGCCTGACTGGCTGTCTTAGTACTGGCAGCTTCCCCCTCCCCATGTTTACCACCCTCTTCCCGCCCCAGCACCCCTTGACAGCTTCCTTCAGATGCTCGAATCTGTTTTTTCTGCCCTTTGGTGTCCAGAGCCTCGATATAACTCCACCCAATGGTGCTTTTTGTAGTAGGTTGAAAATCAGACTTGGAATCCAATTCCTGCTAAGGTGTTGATGACTGAGAAGGATAGTTCATTACCACTTTAAGGATGTTGGTATTTTAATACTGTCCCCTGGATACTTGAAGCAGTGGAGTGGTGTGTGGTGGTTAAAAACTGGTGCTCTGGGGTGAATCTCTTTATGGCTCTGACATTCTAGAGAGCTGGTGCTTATCTTGGTGGTTAGGAGATTCAACTCAACAGAAGACACCCCGTGGCTGTGGAGGGGGAGATGAAAAGTGCCCACTACAGAGAGTACCTGTGTAAAGAGCCAGTGAATTACTCTTTGTAGAGCTCTTGAATGCGTCTTCAGCAACATCCCGGGTGGCTTTCCAGTGGTGGAATTTCAGCTTTCATGCAGGCTGTTCTTTGTCATGCTCCTGAAATCTCATCTTATAAATGTTACCTAGTCTTCCTTGCCAAGGTGGCTGTCCTTGGTCATCCACGTGTATAGGGGAAGCCCCTCTAAGACTTAAGGAGCATGTGACACAATTGTTAAGGTATCTTCCTCCAGATCTTCTTGCATATTTGCAGTAATTCCAAGTTCTCTCCATGGTATTTGCTAAATTGTTCATTTTAAGTAGCTCCAAGAAGGGGTGTAAAAATGGGGTAGCATTTATTCCAGTGTAAAGATTGCATCCTTCTATAAACAATTAGAATTGCACCCAGGTTTTGACATATCCCCAACTTGAAGGAGCATATAATGGGTGGTTGTCATCTTGACTCTAGTTACTACTGACACTGGCAGCTGCTGTAAATAAGAGGGACCCACCAAAAAAAAAAAAAAAAAAAAAAAGGGAAATCCCCAAACAACTGTATGAGGTAGGACCACTGTTACCCTGTATTAATGATAAGGAAACAGGCATAGAGTGGAAAAGTAACTTGCCCAAGGTCACACTTTCTTTAAACGATGGAGTCAGCATTATGTTCTTGTTTGGCAGGATGCTGGTGACGTGTCGGGGGTATGAAATGTGTTGGGGGGCTTGCGGTTCTTCAGGTAGCTCTCACTGCTCTTTTTGTCCGTAGGGTCCGAAAGATTTTAAACTTACGTGTGTTTGATGATGAGAGTGGCAAGCACTGGTCGAAGAGTGTTATGGACAAACAGTACGAGGTGCTGTGCGTCAGCCAGTTCACCCTGCAGTGTGTCCTCAAGGGCAACAAGCCCGACTTCCACCTGGCGATGCCCACGGAGCAGGCCGAGAGCTTCTATAACAGCTTCCTGGAGCAGCTGCGCAAGATGTACAGGCCCGAGCTCATCAAAGGT